CAATTCGTGTAAATATACTGTGGAATATAGGGATTCAAGCTTCAGTTGCAGCGGTTTTATTTTTACGGGTAAGGGGGTTGCTAGCCTCACACACAACCTTCCCGTCTCAACCAACCAGGTTTACGACCAACTAAGGCAGGTGAAGGTGTATGCCGGCCGGGAATCGAACCCCAGACCACATGCATGGTTGGTGAGCATAAACTACCGCTAAACCACTGATACATCGTAATCCAGACTGATTCATACTGTATCACACTGTGTGTTATATATCAAATAAATTTATGCGGTATAGAAAAATCGAAATTTACATATTTTTTTATGTGTCTTAGGAATCTTCCCCACAAATTCTTTAGGTCTATTTACACCTAGTAATTATTTCTAATGAATTTGAAACCTGTTAATGAGATAGGTCATTTCTATTCAGTGATGATTCTTGTTTATCCTTTGTATTCATATCTATATTGCTTAATAATCTGATTTCATTTACAAAGTCAAGTCACTAACAGGCAACTTAATTTCCCAGATATTTTTTGAGGATGAATTTCTTCTATCCATAAGGCAGAATGCATAAAAGAGTAGAGATATGAGACATAAGCTTAAACAGCAGATTTTCAGACGATGATGATGGGTAACAGGTTCGAGGTCCCACTCTATCAACGCTCACACGAGAGGTGTGGTTCTTAGTCTGGAATATGGAAAGTCTCTTCAGGGTAATTGAACTTAAACTTTATTATGCATATTTCATAATAAACACACTTCCAGACATTTTTAAATGGCACAAATAACCGATTACTTTTAGATATTTAGCAGCCAACAACACGGAGTACGTTCTAAACGATGTTGAACAGCCAATCATAATGGAGATGATGAGATAGTGGCTGGGTTCGAGCTTCAGTGGGGATTGTTAAAACATCCATTCATTATGAATGTGTGCAACTACTCTATGGAATATCCCTTCCTTGAAGTGGCGCCATCTGCTTTATTCGGTGGGTATTATTAGGGCATTTCAATAAATAAGCCAAAAAATAGACCAGCATAACTTCATGAAAATTCAATAACATACGTTTAACTTCTGAATTAACTATCTCCCTTTAAGTCTACATATTACATTGATATCAGTATTAAACAAAACTTTCTAATGAAAGTGCAGCAAAAATGTAAAGTACTTCAAGAATATAATACCACCGATAGATAATATGTAAGCCAGAAAATGTCATTTAAAAAACATACAAAAAATATAATTCGTCATAAAACCACCATAGCAATATTTTCTTTTTTTTGGTTATAGCTTGATTCCACACCGTATTTTTGGTTCAAGTATGGAATTTTTAGCGTGGATATCGGTAGCCCAAAATTCGCAGGCCAACCATAGATATCAAGTGTGCGTCGGTGTGTGCTCGAACCCCGGACCATGTGCATGGTCGGCGAGAGTCCTAACCACTCTGCCACCACTAACTATAACGCTACAATTAGCAGGGATTTGCAATAAAGCCACACACACACAAATGTTATAGTGTTGATTGATAGTTAGTATAATGTGAAAGATTCCTGAAGCCCAGTAGCCTACTGAATGACGACGCTTTAATGTCTGAAACAATGTACCTATTTGGATTTGAATCTCATTGGAGAGCAGGTACATTCAGATGATGACTTCCAAATAGAGAAGGAAATACGCATTGTAGATCCTACTCCTACCCCAGCATCAAACAAATCACTTCATGTATACTATATTAAAGGGGAGGGGGGGAATGTCAAATCATGAAGTAAACATTTTGGAAAACGACTGACTGTCCTATTAAGCGGTTATCATATGTGTACATAATAATTTATTTAAATTAATCTACCCTAATACTGTGGTGTGTGCTATATAGATTCAGACTGATAGGAAGTGACCAAAAATTGAAGCCAACATTTTAACTCAGGGCCTGCAGAGATAGAAGTGTTTGTTCTTCAAATCTGGATTTAGTTTACGTTGTGGTTCTGTCTGTCTGTCTGTTTTCGACATAGAACTTTGCACAAATGTGCGCCAGTTCAAGTCGCCACATTCCGTGTAGCACGCGAAGCAAGAGAAGAAAGTACAAGAAAAGCATAATAGAAACAGTGAGCAGAGGTGTGAGACAAAGGAGTAATAAAGAAATACAAAACAGTTTCATTGAAGATCATAAGTCACAGGGAGTGGATGCATCTGCGCCACTGAGAACGATTTTGAGCCATGTCACCAATTGTTTCCAACCATAGATTTTTACCGTCCCGAGGACCCCAGCCTGGAAGTCTACACCTTTCTACGTGGCTTAGACCAACTGTTGTGGATTTCATTGACTGGTGAGGCCATGTTTTTGTTTGACCGCCGCTAGCTTTTTTCCAGCCTGACCCTATATCCACTAACATTGCTCGTCGAGGGAGGCGATGGCTTGGCATACGTAACACATGTCCTAACCATCTCAGTCTTTGTAGCTTCACGACTTCGTCGATTGATTTCCCCTGTTTACCTAGAACTCTGCGCCTAACCTCCATGTTGCTCACCTTATTATGCCACTTTACACGGGAAATAGAACGCACGCACCTATGATCAAAGACAGCTAGTCTTTTCATGTCTTCCACTCTAAATGGCCAGGTCTCACAACCATAAAGGAGGACGGAGCGGACTGATGAGCAGTACACCCGCCCTTTGGTCGATAGTCGAACATCTCGTCTACGCCAGAGTCGGCGTAAACTAACAAATGCGAAACGAGCCCCTTGTATTCGTGCTGAGACTTCGTCAGAGATCAGCCCGTTGGCACTGGCTGATGGTACTTCCCAAATAAGTGAAGCGGTCAACGTGTTCTACGACTTCACTTCCTATTTTTAAACTAGGCGTCGATGTAGTCCAGTCCTGGAACATCATCTTGCATTTGGCGGGAGCGAATCGCATGCCAAACATTCGTAGATTGCGGCTCAAGGTGTTTAGAAGACTCTGCAGAAATAATCTTACTGGACAACTTTTCATCCCCTTGTTTAACCTTGGGTCAATCACTTACTAATTTAGAACAGCTTATTGTCTATTGAAATAACCGACTTTTAATGTAGTAAAAAATGTATAAATATGATGCGTTTTCTCTTATCTTCGACCGTTACACTACTACTAGTGCTAACGGCGATCTAAATTAAGATCTCATACAGAGTTTGCATCAATGATTCTTTGATGGAACACCAACGCCAACCAATCAAGTGATGATCCGGGATTTGAACCCCGGTAGACTCACTTTTCTACCTCACTTAGCCAGTAGTAAGCCCGGTAAAGAGGGCAATGTCAGGAGGGAAGACTTCGTATGTTTTGGGAAGTGTGCGGACGGTTGTTACTTCTCGGCTGCTCACACCATGGAAGTCGACTGATTGTTCGGGTACCTGAAACAGAGAGACGGTTAGTGTTGCTTGACCGCAGAGCTCATGGAACAGCTGCTTGAGGCCGGTAACACACGGCCTGTATGAATTGGTTTATGGTTTGGTTCCGTATTAGTTAACTTACCGCCGGTTACGGATCACCGTAGCGTAAGTCGGGATGTACAACTTTTCGGGTCGACCTTTTCTAACCCCCTCTCCCCAGAGTTGAGAGACAGCATAGCTAGCTGGCATGCTGGTCATCTGAGGGAAACACCTTACTGCTGTTACGTCCCTGTTCCCCAGCAATACAACTTTGCCCCCAGCATAATGCAAGAAAGATTCTTAGACAATGCCAGTAACTGCTTTTAGTCTAATCGCTATCCTAACAACCTTCCTGGTATGGTAGGACCTGCAGAAACATATGTTCCAGCCAGTTTAGCTTGTTTGGTCATCGCGATGTGCAAGCCCGACCACTATCGTCAAGGTAGCAGCTATCGGTCAGGTGTTGGGAGGGAGGCTAGCAACTTTACCACATAGTGTTACTGAAACTTCAAAACTCAAGCATGCAGTCCTATATTCCACCCGGGAAGTTAAACGAATAAAATACAATACAATGAAAATAAGTAAATAAACAGAGTGTAAACGACACCTTTAAAAAAAGCATAACAACCCGAATTCCAATTCATAATTTTTATTTGTATATACGTATATGTAATATATATCACTAAAACTTCAAAAATACATTATTGCACAAAGCACATAGAATGCGATAATGAATAATAATAATAATAATAATAATAATAATAACAGCAATAACAACACCAACAACAACACAAAAATTGTGCATACACAAACACGCACACACCCACGCTCAAATACACATTTTACACATCTATATCCAATTTCGAATAAAACAATAATAACAATAGTAATAATGTTGGTAGCAATAAAATAAAGAGCTTCAGTTAAGACATCTCTACATCATCGAGTCAAGAGTAAGCGTATTGTATATATACGTAGATAATAAGATGATGAGGCAAACATGTTTTGAATTTACCAGTAAAATCTATTCTATCCTTTCTTTCTTTTCTCCTTACTTACTTACAGCGTTGTTGGGCGGCGGGGGGGGGGGGCGGGTATATGAACAAGAGGACGACGAAGTTATCAACACAATGAAGTAGATTTAAACGAAATACCTAACTAGAATATTGAATAGCATATAAAAGTAGTTTGTATATATGCTGTATACGTCTTTAAGAGAAATGAGAATATATCAAAACATTGTAAAAGAAATCTACATTCACACTTTGTCGAATTCTCTTCGCCCTCTCTCTCTCTCTGTACGTTTGCGTGTTCATCTCTACAGTCGACTATTGATAAGCCTTGGAAATATTTACAAACGGTATATATATGTGTATATATCACATTAAAGTAGTAGTAACGACTTCTCAACAGTTTGTTAGGATTTGCGAGGGGCATAGAGAGAGAAAGAGGCCAAGAGGGGTGGTGCGGGTAGAGCAAGAGACAAAAGAAAGTCGCTCTTTAAGAAAGACATTGGCAAATTATTTAGTTGTTGTTTGATTGTTCTCTTCTTGTGGCGAGTTTTAAATCATTTGAATAAATTACAAAAATGATGTATGTCATGACAGGCATGATAGACAATTTAGACGACAACATCTTCGTTTGAATCTTCGTTGTTGACCTATCACAAAAAGAGATATAATAATGAGTTCAAATGTTTGTTTTTTTTGTAAAAATAAAAGGTCAATCAGAATGAGTAAAACCATTTACGAAAAATATTATTTAACATCAATAATTCTGTGACAATAATTTGACAAGTCTTGAAAAAACAAAATTAAACAACTAAAAAGGTCATGGATAAAAGAATAAAACTTGTGCACTGTGGGAGAGTGTAATTCTATTATGGGTAAATTTTGTTTTGATAAAGTCTCACAGTGTTATACAGTAATGTTTACTGATGACCACGTTTCTAGCACAATTTATTGCCACTCATAATCATATCAAGGCACCTACTCACACGACTTCCTAACTTCATTTATATAGTTCCATTATTTTCTATCGCTTGATTTTCACTTGATTTGATTGGTGGTAGTAGTAGTAGTAGCAATGGGATCACCATAATGGAAGTAAAAAGGTCATGTATTTTCTTGACTTGATCAGGCAGAACCAGAAGCCTACATAGAAAACCATATGCTCGCACTAGAGAGTACAAAAACTCAACCATACCCTACCTAGCTCGTGTTCTGTGCGATAAAGAAAGCATTAGGCGTGATACCCATAACTTAATAAATAGTCAGTAGAACAACTGGACCTCGTCTTTCCAATTCATATCATTTACAGGTACGTTTTCTTTTCCTTTTCTCTCTGTCGTTTTTGTTTTTTTGTCTTCACTATGTGCTGTTTTGTTTCTGTCTTCCTTACAAACTCTATTTGAAACATTCTTCTTCGTTCTTTCACATTCTGTATATCTCGATTTTTTGTTACCGTTTACGCCAGTAAATATGCTAGTAGTATCTACTTTTCTAATACCTTCAAACACTCTTTTCACTTTTGGCTTTGCTACCGACAAGGTAATATGTTGTTGTCAAAACTAACTGAGATTACCCTTAATCTATGCAGAATTTTATTTATTGTTAATGTACAAACTGGATGCAATACTTTAGTGAAGTCCTGAGAATTCAATTCTGTATCACAAATAGTGTTTTGGAATAAGGCAAATTATTATTATTACTATTATTACCCACCCACCCATCGAGTTTTGAGAATCAAAAACCTTCCCATTACAAGTCAGACTATTCAGCCACTGGGAGCTGACTCAGTGGTCAGGCCATGAATTGTAACTTTTGCTAATTCGTGATTTCAGTGTGACTGGCGTCAGCCAGTGTCATCGCTGCTGAGTATTTTGTCCTGACTCCCGACTGGGTGGATCCCACAGGTTGCAACTTCTCACTAGAACGTCAGGCAACTTTGTCCTGTAGCTAGTCACTAGAGCACATTGGATTAATTTCCAAGAGTTTGTTTGTAAGCAACTGATTTGTAACCGGAGGGTCTTGGGTTCGAACCCCGGTGGTGTGTGGGTGCGTACTGCAGATGTGTTCCACAACAGGATGAAAAGGCTGACCAGTATTGATGGTTTTCAGTGGGTCTCCAAGTAATATCAATACATAATCCAACTTGGAATATATTTCAGTGGATAATTTTTCCTATCAAACATGGTATCAGCATTGTGTGTGACATTACAGTGTAAGACTAGGGGAAGTTATCGCTGAGATGATATGGATAGTTGCAGTATTCTGGAGTGATAAACAGAAAGTTGATTTCTACTGACCTGATGTTCGCATTGCTCGCTTTTCTAACTCCTTATAACTCTTGTCTTTCTTCACAACTCTTACATAATTCCATATTTTCCTTCATTCCTATATTTATCCTCATCAAAACTCACTCACTAGATTATTCCTCTTATTACGTAACTATAATACACTTATTCAACTTGTTCTATGCACTGACAAGTCATCACTACTACCGTCTTATTGATCGTCACCACCATCCACCACCTAGTTACAATTTGATGATTCATCACATTTCCTTTGAAATGCTTTGATGACGTAATATCAACAACCCTAACTAACTGTTATTCTTATCTGACAAACCTAACGGACATGCACACACATACAAAAATAATTACACATAATTGCAAATGTGCAGCAAAGTGAATGAATTCGTCACCGAAAAGAGAATCTTTTTCGTAGAACTATGTGTTTTATTTTTCATTCATGTCTGGACGGGGATTATTCATGATTGCATGGAAGATTTCATCATGAGTTGACATCAGTTAGAGAACCACTGAAAAACCGGGGAGTACTGGACAGATGTTTCGTCCTAGTTTGGGACTCTTCAGCAGTACGCACCCACAGGGGTTCGAACCCAGGACGAAAAAAATGTCCAGTACTCCCAGGCTTTCCGGTGGTCCTTTAACTGATGTCCACTCATGATGAAATCCTCCATGCAATCAAACAAAATCCCTACAAAACCAACAATACTTGAAGATTATTTATGAATCAAAAAGTTATATAAACAATTTTTCAAGTCCTTTATTCCAGAAGGTCTTTTTGCTTAACTAGGAATTAAAATTAATCTGATGCTCGCTAGTGACTTCCTACAGGATGGAGTTTCCTGGAGTTTTTGTGAGAAGTCGTGACCAGTGAGGCCCAGCCAGTCGAGTATGAGGATGGATTTTCCGCCGGTGACATTGGTTGGTGGTCGCATTAAATCACGAATTGGTAGAAGCTAGAATTTATGGGGTGGTGGCCATTGGTCTACGAGCTCGTCTTGTAACCGGTAGGTCCTGGGTTCGAACCTTAGCGGTGGATGAGTACTGCCTATGATTCCCAAACTAAGATGAAACAGCTGCCAGTCCAGTACTCCAGTGCTTGTTTTCAATGGTTCTCTAACTGAAATCAATCCGTGGTCAAACTGGTAATAACTAGGAATTCGACAGCTACCACCTCCACTGTATCAAGTTCACCTCTGTAAGTGATTAACACGATCAACAGACAATTAAGTAAAAAAAAGGAGCTCTTGGTAGAGTTGTTTGTATTCTATGACCTACATGTCTATCTAGACAACATCTTCAGTGTATACTTAAAGTGGACTTAAGGCGACCTGCTTAAATCACTGGGCTACGGGAATTGCTTCCTTTGAAAAATGCTTAATTTCATCTGGATTTATGATTGTTTTAATCGTTCAGTTATATCAAATAACCTATGCATGAACTTGCGCGCTGATTTAAACTAGCTTCCAACTAAACTCTGTGCAGTTCTTCAACGAAATGAAGATATAATTTAGATTATTAATTTATATGTAAATCCTGTATAAAGAAAAAAGTATTTTGGAACTAAATACGCTGAAAATTTTCGCACCATACGTTTGCATATTGTCTGAAATATTGTTATTATTATGATTGTTGACATAATTAAGTTTTTGTGAATAAAAAACTCGTGGATAATCTCCATCTAGGCATTAATGAAAACAAAACACGCAGTTCAGCGAAGAGTCTCTTTTCGCCAGCGAATTCATTTTCTTAGCTGTACACTCGCAAATATATTTAGGTTATCTTTTATGTATGTGTACATTAAGTTTGTCCAAAAAAATACAATTGGGTTATGGTTATTTTAACTAAAGAGTGGGGGCAGGTGAGAATTAGTAAGTTTTTGGTGGAGTTACTTAATACAAAGGGGGTCAAGAAAATTGGGTGTTAATGAAACTAGTGTAGTAACAGTTCAGTTCACCTGTTGCTGTGGAGCCAGACAGGTACATTGATCGTTTGACACGCATCCTGTCAAAGAGGATTCAAGAACACTATCCAGCATGGTTGTGAAAAGGCGATATTGGTGTTATATAAGGATTGCGATAATTGAACACCTGGTAAGCACTGATCATTCAATCTCAACAAACGCCTGCTCCTTCAAAGTAATCTAAAGAGCCAAGAATAACTTACCAAAGGCAACGCGGTTTTGTCTTCTTTGTATCGCTGAAGCTCTGGCCATTCACATAGAAAAACCGGAGTTGTGCATACAAAAGAGAATTACTCAACCGCTTTTACTATCATGGTAACAACTTTGTTGATTTTTTGATGACTTAATTTTGTTTGTTCGCATGTTTCTCCACTTGCTTATAATTTTTATATTCATTTCGAACTCTTACGTGATTTTGTATTCTCTGCTTTGTTTCGATGTGTATCCTGAGTAAAACTCAGTCATCAAACTATTCATGTTGTTACGCAACTCCTTTCTAACAACTGTTTGTGACAACTCACCACCTTTGTTACTACCTTAATTTCATTAACATCCAATTTTCTTGACCGTTTTGTGTTGCGTAACTCCACAGAAAACTTACTCATTCTCACCCCCACCCCCCATTTTAGTTAAAATAACCATAACCTATTGTATTTTTGTTTGATAAACTTAATGTACACTTCCATACAATATTAATAATATAATTGTCTCTCTTTTGACGACTGAGAAAGACAATTAAAGCTTTGCAATCCAGAGAATTCAACTCAACCCAAAATTTAGAATTAGTTCATGAAGATTTTAACAGTTAATTTAAGCCAGTTACATAGGGAGATGTAGATTGCCTGATTGGTATTCTCAGGATTTTAAGAACCGATGGCTGGATATAACTGATGATGTGGCTCAAAATCATTCTCAATGACGTAGATGAATTGACTTTGTGACGTGCTCTATTCATTAAACTCTACTGTTGTTCAATGTTGCTATTTCTCTCTTTCTCACACATGTGCTTATTATCGTCTTTTTCGAAGCTCTTTTTCATTTCTTTGTGTGCTACATGGAGGGTGACAATCGGGGCTGCTGCCTCTGGTGTGCAAGGTTCTATACTGAAACCAGTCAGTTAGAGAACTCAACTGCATCAATATGATCCTCCATCTGAATAGTTATAAAATCTTCTCCATTATTTCGAAAGTGCAAAATCTTTTTGTTAAATAAATAGCACCGCCTTACAGTAAGTTCACATGATAATTTTTAATTTTTCCTTCACGTTCCCAGTGGAACATAGGGCTCCAAGCTAGTGGCTTGAAGTTTCTGTAGCAGTATTTAATTTTTACAGGATGGGGTTGCTAGCCTCATGCCCAACCTTTCCTCTTTACCAGGATTATCTCTGGCTCAGTGAGGTAAAGGAGTGCGCCGGCCGGGGATCGAACCCCGGACCATATGCATGGTCGGCGAGCGTGCTAACCGCTATACCACCGTCGCACATGATACATTCTCACAATTACACTTTGTCAAAGTTATTGAATAATGCTTTTCTGTAAAATTATACGGTAAAACAAATCTGAAACTTATTCACTGTGGGACGATTGGATAACAAATACAAAGTGCAACTTGTATATTCTGACTAATATCTTGCCAGTCTAATTAGTAATGTTAGATAACTAGCTAAACATGTAAAACCATATTCTCAAAACTGCTCCTTGTTTATCCAGTTCATAACACTTCTTCCAATGACAGTTAATCTTGATGATTTTCGATAGTTAATGAATAGCTTCTAATGTGACTACCCATTGAATATCCTTCATTCTTGTTCTAATGTATTTACGAAGTTTAGATAAAAAGTGAATAACATCAGTTATTTACACAGGTGGCACCTAGTCATCGCCTTCCTCGACAGTGGGCAATGTTAGCTGACATAGGGTTAGGCAGGAAAAGAGCTAGCACATGGCGGTCAAACCAAAACATGGCTTCACTAGTCAATGGAATCCACAACAGTTAGTTTAAGCCTACCACGTGGGAAGGTGTAGACTTCCTGACTGGTTGGGCTCCTCGGGACGGTAAAAACCAATGAAGGCTGGAGACAATTGGTGATATGACTCAAAATCGTTTTCAATGACAGAGCAGGTGCAACCAATACTTTTGACTTATAATATCCAATCAAACTATATTGTTTTTCGTTATTACTATTACGTCGTCTCACACCTCTATTTACTGCCTCTACTTTGCATTTCATTCTACTTTCTTCTCTTACTTTGAGTGCTACACGGAGGGAGAGTGGCGACTTGAACTGCTGCACATCAGTGCAAAGTTCTATGTCGAAAACAGACAGATACAGGCGGAATGCATGAAGATGACAAAGGTAGATAGGACAGGAAAGCCAAGACACACCTTTATTGTTCTGAAATAAGTCAAAAAATCTACTTGCACTAGGCATAAAGAACAAGACCAGGATTTTCAACAGTAATGTCAAGTCAGTCAGACTTAGTACCTGCGTCACCATGAGCATTTCGAACAGGCTTCAAACTTTTGCCAACAGCTACCTTCGGGGGCTCCATACAGAAGATTAGATGACTAACCAGAAACCATTGCCGACAAGGAACCATAGCCCAACAAATATGCTGAAAAAATGGAGATGAATTAAACACACGCTGAGGTGATCGGTGAGTGGCATTGGACATCAGGCCATCCCTGGAATGGAACCTTAATGAGAACCTTAACGAGTTGTGTGCCCAAGAGTAACATGCAGGAGATCGTATGAGGAGGAAGTGAGAGCTTACAGACAGTTGTAGAGCCATCTAAAGAGAACTACGGAAATCAGGATGAAGTGAATATATACTGTAGAAGACTTGTGTTCTACTTGGAACCTGAGGGAATAATATTAATCGTATTTGCATCTCACGAAACTACTCGCCTTTCACGATTCATCAGTACCTATGATTGTACAGCATATTATTTTATTACTAGACTGTAAAGCCTACAAGAATGAAGTGGTCTATTCTACCACTTAGGTTCAAGATATTGACAACATTGGCTATTGTTATTATTGTTTCACATTATGACACTTAAATGACATCTGAGTTTGAACTCAGCTACCACAACAGACGTTTCATGCACCAGGCTATGAGCTAATACACTTATTGTGTAAGGACTGGTGATAATACGCGGTTTTTCAAGCTGAATTAGACAGGGTGGGGCTAAAATCTGAGACTCATATGCCAATAAGTAAATTCTCCACAAATAATATCACAGATTAGATACAAAATGTAAAAGACTGTCCAGTTTACCTCAGTTAGTTAGATTAAACTGAGTACCATCAATTTCCTAAGCTGTAGCTCTACAAATTTCATATAAAAAACCTTTTTTTATTCATTAAGTACTCTCACAATACAACTGACAATTATTCCTATTATAGTCACTCATTTTATCTTTTAAAACAAGTTTGAAAACATTCTATAGAAGTCATTAGTGAAATGGTCTCAAGACAAACTTAACTGTGATAGAATTCAGTCAGCAACAAACAAAAGGTTAGACGCATGACACTAATTAGTGTCTAGTCAAAGTATCTAATACAATCCGACAGGCGGTCAATCACGAGCCTGAATAGCTCAGTGGTAACATATGCAATCCTGGACGATATGGGTTCGAATCTCATAAGGGGCATGAGTTCCTCCAAGATTGCAGATACGCCTTACCTAGGTAGTCAGGCGAGGCTTCCTGCCGATTGCCTCCAACCATCTAATACAAAACGGTCTCGACTGTAGAATGAAAATAAGAATAGTTGCTAGTGTATATCAAGATAATTTACTCAGTTGTTGTATATATGAACAAACAGCTTTGTCCTAAAAAAATTTTTTTTAATTGGTAAATCCTATCAAAATGTAAAGGTTCCAGTCACGATTAAGCACTTCACACAACAAACGTTAGTGCGTAACGCTTAGAGGCGACTTATACTGTGTAGTATTCAAGGCTTGATGTAAACAGTAACAAAATACTTATGTGCCTCTAGTCTGGGACCTTCTCTGGTAATGATTTAGTGAATATTGACTAGCAGTGGAATCCAACAGGAAGCATATTTCGTCCTGTTTGGGACTAGTCGTCATCTGGGTGTACTTGTACTCGTAGCCCTAGTGGTCTAGCGGATAACGTATTGGCATCCGGGACGATGGGTACTGAATTCGAGCCAAAATGGGTGCACCATCACTCTGACTGACTGGTTTTGATGTAGAACTTTGCGCACAAGTGCAGCAGTTCGAGTTCCCACACCCTTCTTGTAGCACACAAATCACGAGAAGAGAGTAAAGAGAGATAATAAACAGAAATTTGAGGCAAAAAGGATAATAATATGGAATAACAATAGAATTTTATTGGATATTATAAATAACTAGGATTGGATGTATCTGCGCCATTGAGAACAAGGATTTTGAGCCATATCACCGATTGCCTCCAGCCGTTGGTTTCTACCATCTCAAAGACCCCAAGCAGTCAAGAAGTCTACACCTCCCTATGTGGACAGTTTAATCTAGCTGTTATGGATTTTCCTGACTGGTGAAGCCATGTTTTGGTTTGACCATTACTATCTCTTTTCCAATCTGATTATATGTCAGCTAACATTGCCCGTCGAGGAAAGTGATGGCTAGGCATGTGTAACACATATCCTAACCATCTGAATCGATATGCATTCACAACCTCGTCGACTGATTTTCTCTTTTACCTAACACTCAATCCCTAACCTTAATATTACTCACCTTATTATACCACTTAACACGGGAAAGCACCATTCTTCACTGGGGAGTGCAGGCATATCGAGATGACGAGTTCCAAATAGGATGGAATGTGTACCTGCTGAATCCCATTACTAATTACCATTCATCAGATTACTGCAAGTTAATCATCGGACATCGTCGAAGTAATCGTACTACGAACCGACGTGTGTCAGCTGCGGACGAACATTTCAGTCCAATCAGTCAACAGGAAAATGAAAACTGAATTAAAAACAAGCAATTTTCTCTGATCAATCTTAATAAAACTTCATTTGAAAAACATGTAGAAAATTATGCATACCATTAATTCTTGGCAATGGCATTGTTTCATGTTGAATTAAATGCATTGTGATTTGTTCAGGAGGTAATTTTAATTCTAAAACAGAGAAGACATACAGAAGTTTAGCATCCATCTTTTGTAAGAGCAAGAGGATTAGTTTATTGCAAAATGACTGTGGAATAGTCTTATATAATTATCTCACTATTCATAAAACTGGTTAAATTAACTTGTTAATACTAAGTGACTACTGAAGAAACGCGTAACGATAGCTACACACAAAATTTAGAAACAGTAAAGTTAAGTGTAGATAGGAAATAAAATCCTATATGATATACATCAGGTTACTCTGAATTCATGACTGCTTTTATTTTTCATTCTAAGTAGAGACTACCAAACTCTCACTAACTGAGGGTATTACAGAAAGTCTATTCTTTACATGTCTATTTTTGATAATAGTGCATATCACGGCGGCCTGCTTGAACATAGGGCTACCAAAAATTCCACCTTACAACATTTTGCAAAATTGCTTTGGTTTGCTCTTTTAATTTTGTTTTAATTTATCAATAATGTGTCCTAATCGTATTATATATAATCGCGCATTTTTAAAATCATTACAACCTACCGCGTTGTGTCATCCACAAAAATTGAGAAAAAAGCATCACTGTGGCTGGCAGCGTGCACTGAAACGTACACAAATTAATCAAATGACTGTTCCTGAACTCGTTAGCACTAATTGTAGATCCCTGTCCAACAAAATGGATTACCTTCAATCCCTAATGTATTCCAATGTTTATCGAAATGCTGGCGTTTTAGCAATACAAGAGACTTGGCTGCACCAGCATTATGATGATAATCTAATTTCAATAAATGGATATAAAGTTTTTCGCCAAGATAGAAATAGTTCCAAGAAAAAATATGGAGGAGGGGTAGCCACATATATAAACACAAATTGGTCTACATCAAATCACGTTTGCTTCAATTATTCTAATGACAGTATAGATTGCATAACCGTCAGGTGTCGCCCAAAACACTTAAGTAAATATTCTTATATATACATAACAAATATTTACATAACACCCAATTGTAGCCTTTCTAATATAGTTATGTTTGCAGATGAGTTTACTGAATTCGCTGCTCCTGCATTCGGAAACTCGTTGTCTATAGTCTGTGGTGATTTTAATTCATGTGATCACAGCTTTCTTACTTCGCTTGGTCATGAGAATCTAGTCAAGTTTAATACACGTCTGGACAAATCACTAGACCTGGTTTTCATAAATGACCGTGATGTATATGAAACCCGAAGGAGAGCTCCTTTGTTAAATTCTGACCACTGCATTATTCGTATTTTACCGAAAGTGTACGGCAAGTTACAACGAAAATTGTTTAGTCATTTAACAAAGAAGATACATGAACGTTCATATTCCCATGACAACATTCTAGCATTAAGAAGCATGTTGCATGATACCAACTGGGAACTGTTTACTGACGATAAGTTGGATGCTACTGTCTCTAATATAACCGATTATCTGAAGTTTTGTTTGGATATTTGCTGTCCTTATGAAACACTGTTTTCGAGATTTGACAGAATCTCTTCTTTGCAACTGAAAAAACTTAGAAGACAAAAAGAGAAGTTGTATAAGAATTGTGATAATACTGGTGTCCGTAAAATAAACACCCTTATAAAAATTGAAATAGAAAGGTTGAACAGACTATATAATGAAAAATTTTTATCATGTAAAAATCCTTCAAACATTTGGAAACTTTTCAATAAACTAACAAGTAAAAAACAAATGTCCGTTGATGCTTATTCTGATGTAAATGCTTTAAACAAATCATTTATCAAGAAACAAATTAATATGGTTGTACCTGATGTACCTAGTCAAGAAAATGGTCATTTTCAGGGTTTTGAAGAAAAGGATGTACTATTATGTTTGAAGTCATTAAATCCAACACACAGCCTTGGTCCAGATGGTGTACCAAGCATTCTTCTCCAAAAGTGTGCAGACATCTTGTGTCATCCTCTTACTCAAATCTTTAACGCATCATTTAAGAGGGAAACGGTACCTGCTGACTGGAAAGAAATCAAGGTTGTACCTGTACAGAAATCATCTTCTGGAGCAGGTATAAAGTTTAGACCAGTCGCTATAACATCTCCTTTTTTGAAAACTATGGAGAAACTTCTTTTGAATATTCTTAAACCTTCTTTAAAAGCTTTTAGTGACCCTAAGCAGTTTGCTTATAAGTGTGGAAGAAGTACATTAGATGCAGCCATTGTACTACACCACAATATTGTTTCCTGCCTTGATAAGGGTGCTAAGTTCGTTCGAACAGCTTTTTTAGACTATACTGCAGCTTTCGACTCTGTTCCTAGGACACTTTTATTAGGAAAGATGATTTCAGCTCAAACAGAGTCCTGGGCAACTAGATGGCTGTCTTCTTATTTTAAGGATAGGAAACAGCATACTGTTTTGGCTGGAAAGCGCTCCACTTCCCAGCTAACTGAAAGTGGTGTGCCTCAAGGTGCAGTACTTTCTCCATTTCTTTTCTCTTTCTTTCTGCATGACCTTCCGAACTCACCCAAAGTTAACTTCATTAAGTATGCTGATGACCTGACCGTTTCTGTCCCTGTAGTTGCCACATCGGATTGTTCCTATATGAATGGCTTCCTAGCTGAAGTTAAGGATTGGTCTCGCTCAAATGGTCTTAAACTAAATCCAACTAAATGTAACACTGTTGATTTCAGCTTGAGAAGTGAAAAAGATATGCATGGATTGATTCAATCTCATGATTGTTGTAATATTGATGGTACCATGATTGAGAGTAAGTCAAGTGTTTCTTATCTTGGCATTAGTTTCTCGTCAAATCTTTGCTGGTCGTCTCATATTCTTATAGTTTCTAAGAAAGTTTTCCGTCTGACTTATTACATAAAGAAGTTGAGACACTCAGGTATAACTCAATCTCTTATCATACAATTTATTAATTCATGTGTTTTGCCCATCATTCTTTATTGTTCTCCATTATTCTTCCCTGGGCTACTCAAGAAAGATCATATAATACTACGAAGAACATTGAGGGCTGTAAGTAGGGTCAGTGCTATCCCTTTGACTGAACTAAATGACACTGTTGTCAATAGGCATATGAATTCTTGTAAACACTTAGCTAAAGTTATCTTATCTGATAGTGAACATCCTCTTTATTCACAATTGTTTCCTTGTATCTCTTCGGGTAAGACCAGAAGAAATTTTATAAACATTTATGCTCGTACTACAAAATATAAAAATTCGACCGTTCCATATTTGGCACGAGTATTGTGTGAAGAGACAAATATCAGAAAAGAACTTTTACAACTTTTGAATCAATAACTAAACTATAAAATGAAATGATGCATATTAATGCATGTGTTATTTGTTATATTATTTATTTATTATTCACTATGACCTAGAAATGGTATGATTTTGTTGGGTTTTTTTATTTTTATTTTTTTTATTATTTTTTCCTATTAACTATCAATATTTTAACATTTTATATATTTATATAATTATAAACAGAGCTAAACCATTGCAATATGTAAAAGAAACGCTGAAAATTCCATGCTGTAAATTGTTATTGTTGTGGAATAAAGTGATTATTATTATTATTATTATTATATACTCAAGGATTACAAAGTTTGTATACAAATTCTGCAACTTAACAAAACTTGAACTCATGTGAAGTTAACAGTCTTTAACAGGGGCTATTGTCAATGACATCAAGATAACTTGACTTTAGAAATATTGATGCAAAGGCTTTTAAGCATCTACCGTTATTTATTCAAAAAATATCTTGATTAAACTTATTAGCTATTGGAAAACTTTGTACAAAAATAAAACGTGTTTATAGCAAGTTATTAATTTGAGCAATTAGCCATTAGCTATATTTGTGTTAAGGCTAATGACAAGGCAAGATTGTTTAGAGACTGAAGGGAGATAGATGGATGAACTATATGAGCACACTTTTCCCCATACATATTGGTTCTACTAACGGTGATGATACTTAAATATTCTAACATTAATAAGCGTAATGTGAAGTAAGATGCAAAGAATACACTACACTTTGACAGCGAATATGAAGCTGCGCTAGGTTTATATTACCAAGGTATATAGGCTGGTTGTTACTTAAAGCCATACCGCTTTAATGCCCATCAGCAAGTCCCTGGAAAGATAACTGCCTCAATCATGTATCAATGTGACAACTAAAATCAAACGCTACTTTCTAAATAACGTTGATCCAGTTTCTTCGCACAAAATATTTGCCCCTAGAATTGTCACTATAACGACACAGTGTGCAGAATTTCATCGTTTTTTTATTTCGCTAAGCAGTACTGTCTTTTGACTACCACAAAACAGTTCCAGCGACATGCTCGATTTATTATTTCTTTTCTACTTTGCCAGTGGAAACAAAATATCAAACTACTTTGTTGTCCACCATATCAGTTAAGACAGAGAATTTTAGACTCAATTAGGTGATTAACTAGAAATAATTTACCTCATTTAGTTTAGTAGTTTTACGCTCTCTGAAACACTGTTAGTGGCAGCCAGTAGAATATGCAAGAAGCAACAACCCTAACATTTCCCCAAAAATCTATTTGAAACCACAGTAAATCCAGTAGAAGAATCCCCAAGATATCTTTCTTGAAAATAACAGATATTTCCAGTATCAATTGTTTCTATTTGTTTTATAAAACACGAGAAGTCTGTTTTCATTATGCGAATTACCGAACACATTGGTGAATAAAAAACTTCTAATTTGATTATGTCTACTTAGCTTATCAAAACATATGCAACATTCATAAGGTGTTGAAACGCAAATGAAATTTTTATAAGGTATTGAGGGGACGAAACCACCTTTAGGAATATTCAATCGAGTTTTTATTTGTTAACCAAACACAGTAGACATTTTTTGAGTCGCAAACTTCCATGCTATGTAGTCTCATTCGAACAAACATAAATCCCCACCAGCCATTAGTATATTTAAACTTCTAAATTAGGATCCCCTTGTATTCTTTAGAAAGTGCTTTGAAAGCATGGAACTTGACAGAGTGCTTAACCACTTGAATGGGGGATTTGTCTACATTTCTTAAAACCAGTCCACGTACGTAAACCAATGCTCTTAAATGTCAGTTGGAATAACAAGATACCGCTTGAAATTTCATAAGTCTAAAACTGGTATAGAAACAGTCATGACTAAAAAGAAAAACACACTGAAGGCACTCAACTACTAGTGCTAACATATGAATACCAGGCCACCACCAAACTACATAGTTTTAAAGCATACCTATCTTCATTAAAAAATTTTGTGTGAAGACCACAACCAACATCAACTAACTACATATAATAAACTGTCTATCTTTCCCGAGCAGTAAGATTCAGAAGATATACCAAGAGTCACACCCAAATATACTCAACTTCTGGAGCAGTGAAAACATTTAAAGTAGAAAACCCATTGAGGCATCGTGCACTCTCGAGTGTAGGACGTTAACCGTATTTTTGAAAACCTGCTGAATCTACTTGATTTGTAGTTATTCTGCATGGACAGCAGATTTATGTATTTAGTTAGAAGTCGCTGCCCCGATAGGAAAGCATAAATAAAAGCCGTAAAACCGATAGGATTCGCTCCTTAAAGTGCGTCCGGGATAATTATTAGATACGGCAATAACTGGGAGGTAGTGACACACGACGACCATAAAAATGATCGGTTATGAACGCCACACGAATAGACTTAATATTAAAAAGTAAAACAGAATAACTCACCTAGGAGGGTCAAATCTCCAGAAAGGAATCTACCCTGAAATATGAGTTTCAGGTGGTTAGATACTGGTTTAATACCCAGACCTGCAACGTTAGCTTAACTAAAAATATTACTAACTATGAGGCCAGTTTTTGAATAAAGAACTGGTTATCTCTTCGACTGTAGTACTTTGGTCATAATCGTTTTCATAAAATGATCCATCAGGCATAAGTAACTTTAGATGTACCTGTGTGGATTTGATATATTACGAAAAAACAGTTACTGTCATAATCAGCTTCTTTGCTTGCTGACAGATATAGAAAATGCCGGTCCTTGCAAAGACCACATCAAAAAATAAAATAAGAGCAGTAACCTAGAGATTCGTAATGGCGCCACACATATTTACGATGGAGAAATAGTAAAACTTAAAATTTCACTCAACTTTTGACAGAGAAAATAGTTGTTCAGAAAATCGATGCCAGTAAGTGAAGTCCTCAGTTCAGAGTAAGTTCATTTGGTGTTCAAGGCTCCCAAACTAATTAACTCAGCTAGTAATTCAAATGGCCGATAAATATATATTAGAAACGAGATGCGAGTGGAATGACATCAGGGTCTTCCAACTATCTGAACCATCTTCGTTCTATGTGCTCAGGGAAAATTACTACTCAACTAATGGAAAACCTATCCTCTGGAGTGATGGGACAATCTAGCGATCAATAATTCTCCGAAATTATTCGATCGCAGATGTCATTATTCAACGCTGTATGCCGGCATTCACCGCTCAGAGAGACTGGTTGGACTGATGGTATGTGTCAAATCATCTATACTGCGCCTTGAATGTTTGGAATTTTGTTTTGCACCACGCCATTTTTTTCTGGTGTGACTGTTTGCACGTGACTAGCTTTATTGTTGTGCTATCATTAAGCGCCCTCTTCGAGACTGCTACGCCGGCCAGTTAGTAGATAAGTTGTACAACATTCTTATTCATTAAAGTTGAAATTTAATCTGTAGTAAAAATATGATTATCATCAGCACACACTACCAAGATAAAAACCTTCTTACTTCGAGTTCGTTAGTCGGTACTCACAGGTTAGGTAGAGTACTGATTAGAGTATAAAGAAGAGAAGTCTTAAGTAAGTGCGGTTAATTAACGTCTACATTAAGCGCAACCCGTACATACATTACGATGTATTTATTCCCAATGATAGGTTAGCTTAGCCCACATGCCTGCTCGTCAGCACTGACCTCGAAATATACCTGGTACTGTGGACAGTGAGGCTGCTGTTCTGATTCTGTTTACCAACTGTTCTGTGGTATTTATTTATTATATTTTATCCTTTTATTCCTAGAGGAACATAGGGCTTCAGCCGCGCATCTCCATTGCCTTCTGTTTTCTGCCAACTTTTTCACCCCGCTCCAAGTCTGCCCACATGCTTTTATCTCCTCTTCACATGACCTCCTCCAAGTCACCCCATCCTCGCACTGACGACCAACTCGCCGCTTCCACTTCGGCCAGGTTCCACTCGAGCAATGGCTTGTTTAGTGATGTCACTTGATGGTTTCCTCAGAGTATGGCCAATCCATCTCCATTTATTCCTGCCTATTTGTTGTACAATCAGTTCCTGGTTGGTTCGCTCATTGCCGGAGATCCATGTTGCTAATCTTTTCTGGCCATCTGATCTTGAGCAAGGTGTTGAGCGAAGACAACTGTTAATGAAGGTCTGAAGTTTGTTTGAGATGCTCTTTATGACGCGCCAAGTCTCTGATCCATCCGTATAGTAGCACTGACTTCACATTGGAGTTGAATATCCGGATCTTATTTTTCACGCTGAGTGCTGTTGACCTCAACACAGACTTGAGAAGAATGAAAGCCTGTTGTGCTTTTCCGATTCTTGCTTTGATATCCTCGTCAGTTCCTTCCGCCTGTAGTTGAAACTATGCTTCCCAGGTGAGTGGGTAAAGGAAGTTGTTTCTTTCAGGTTCCTCTCATTATTGCTCTCTGCTCTCCCATTTATGCTGGCTGATTGTTGTCCGTTGTTGTTGTTATTGTTGCTGTTGGTGTTGGCCAGGAATCTTCATCACCTCTGTTTTATCTATGTTCACCCGATGTCCTTCCTGTCTTTGATGCTTCTTCTGCCAGCTTGTTGCTATTCACTTGCATATCTTCCAGTTTGTGGGAAATCAGACATGTATCATCGACGAAATCCAGATCCTCCAAGCATTTTGTGAGTCCATTTTATGTCTGTTTACTCATTGCCTGTTGTCTGTCGTATTATCCAGTCTACTGCAATCAGAAAGATCACTGGCGATAGTAGGCAGCCTTGCCTCACTCCCGTCCTCACTTCGAAGGCTTCCGTAAGTTTCCCGTTGCGGATTACTTGCCATGGAGAATTGTCGTACAACTGTTGGATGAGATGTATAATTGTCGATGGCACCCCGTAGTAGCGAAGTAGTTGCCAAATGACCACTCGATCGACGCTGCACCATCGAAGGCCTATTCAAAGTCGATGAAATTAAGATAGAGTGGTGACTTCCACTCCAAGCTTTGTTCAATGATGATCTGTAGTGTGGTGACTTGATCAATACATGACTTGTAACTCCTGAATCCAGCCTGTTCCGGTGGAAGTTTTTCATCCAGGTTGGCTTGTTTGATTCTCCCCAGGATGATTCAGCTTAGTATTTTGCTTGGAATGGACAGAAGCATAATTCCGCGCCATTTTTTACATTGAATTAAGTCTCCTTCTTTTGTAGTTTGAATAAGTATCCTTTCTTCCTATCGTCGGGTAATTCGCCCTCTTTCCACACCTTCTCCAGGAGTAGTGGCGTCATCAAGTTCGTTGTTGTCTCAGGGTCCATTTTCAAAGCTTCTGCTGGGATTCCATCTGGTCCCGGTGTTTTTCCATCTATTAGCATCTTGATTGCATTCAGGACTTCTGATTTCGTCGGGGGGTCAGTGTTCACTGGTAGTTCTGCTTCCGTTGTTGATATTGTTGGGCGCGTTGTAGGTGGCGGTCGATTTAGAAGTTTTTTGAAGTGTTCAGCCCAGTGCTTTCTCTGTTCCACCTCTTTGGTGATTGACTTTCCATTGTCATGCTTTACTGGCTTAATCTGTGTCGAACGTTTGCCCGAAAGGTTCCTAGTTGTTTGGTAGAGTGTGGTGAGGTCTCCTTTGCCTGCAGCTTGTTCTGCTTCGTTTGCCATGGTTTGATAATATTTTCTTTTGTCTTCCCTGGCACTCTTCTTTGCTCTTTTCTTCAGTGTATTGTAGCTTGCATTCAACTCCTGTTTTTCTTGCTCGTTGGTGCACTGGATAATCTTTTGCTTCACTGTCCTTCTCTCTTCTATTAGTTTCCAAGTGTCCGTAGTGAGCCACTGTTTGTCCTGTCTCTTGTTTCTGCCTAGAACTTCCATGCAGGTTTGATTCCACACCGTTTTCAAGTTGTTCCAGTGCTTTTCGACGCCGACTTTCTCACTAGTGTTGATTTGTGTCTCGGCTTTGTCCTTTATGCTTGCAATGAAGATGTCCTTCGTATCCTGGTCCTTCAGTTTTTGAGTGTTGAACTTGGCTTGTGGTCTATGCGCAGCTCCTGATTCCCTGAAAGCTTTTAATTTGATTTGGATTGTCCCTTGTACGAGATAGTGGTCTGAGCCAACGTCTGCTCCTCTTCTTACTTTTGTGTCCAATAGGCTGTGCCTCCACTTCCTAGAGATTGAGATGAAGTCGATTTGGTTTTTGGTTTGCCCATCTGGTGACACCCATGTAGCCTTGTGGATATCTTTGTGCTTGTATACACTGCCTCCAATCACTTGTTCGTTGATGGTGCAGAAGTCGACTAAGAGTTCTCCATTTTCATCCATTTCTCCGAGAGCTTCTCTACCCATGATATGTTCCCTTCCTGTGTTGTCTGGTCCCAGTTTGTCGTTCATGTCTCCCATTAGTATTTATGTCGCCAGCTGGGGTATCATCCATTGTTGCCTGTAGTTACCTGTAGAATTCTTGTTTCTTTTCGAGGTCTGCGTTGTTTGTGGGGGCATAAGATTGTATAATTGACACTTTCCTTCCTTTGGAGTTGAACCTGGCGGTCATTATCCTGGACGAAATCGCCTCCCATTGCATCAGGGCCTTTGCTGCCGTTGGTGACATAATGATAGCCACGCCCTCGGTGTGCGTGTGGTTATCTTCTGGGTGACCGGAGTAGATCACTGACTCACCCTTTGACAATTTGGTGAGTCCATTCCGATTCCATCTGCTTTCACATATTCCCAGTAATTGGATTCCGTATCTTTTCATCTCGTTTGCGATTTGGGCAATTTTGCCAATCTCGTACATAGTTCGGACGTTCCATGTTCCTACACATACTTTTTCTTTTGGCGCGAAGAGATTCATCGTGCCGAAGTTTCTGTGGCAACTTTGATTACAGGGTGAGGTTGCTAGTCACACGCGTGAGAAAGGGATTTTTACATTAAGATAAAGTTTAGAGAGAAGCGGCCTTTTGGGCTGCTCTCCTTAAAATCGGATTACAAGGGATAAAACAATCACAACACCATGAAAAGGAAAATTCACAGCAAAAGGGGTAAAAAGCGACAACAACGATACAATACAACAACATGCAATATAGTTCAGCACAATTAACTAAAATGATACCAAAACTACAGACTCACTGTCTTGGGTCAACCTGAACACATAAATCCAACAATACATGCAATTTCAGATGAGTTATTGTTAAAAGTCACAAAGCGTCAAAAACTTTGTTATAGGTATTAGTAGTCGATGATATTGTATCCACAGTTTAAGTGTTCGAAAGTAAACGGATTGCAATAATTTCCAGAACTTCATGGCGAGCAACAACAAAGTAATGAGAGTTTTATATATCGCAGCAGAAAGTAACGCACTAGTCGAAAAGCGCGCCGAGGTGGTTATCTGTTCTGTGGTATACAGAGAATAATTACATCGGGCCTGAAGGACAATTTCTTTCAAGAAACATAACACTAAATGAGGTTGTTTGTTTCTTTTCTAAAATACCCATAGGATGTTGCAAGTTTAGGGAATTATGAGTTACACTTAATCTTAAGGGCTGTTTGAGTTGCTCTGCTATACTCTACGATTTCGGAGAAATGTAAATATTTAGTATATAGATAATTCATCTCCTTATATTAGTTTATTTATGACTACTTCTGTGCCCTAAAGACATAGTACACGATACTGATATTCACAGAAGCTACAGAGGAGGGCCAATCTGATGTCATATTCAGATTCTCAACTTAGGAGCTTTCAAAACCTGTTCGTTG